TTGGTGCTTGCAGGGGGTGCACTGGCACTCCTGCCTGCCCCCCCTGCTTGTCACCTAAGTGGAGAGCACTGCCAGTCAGGGGGTGCATCGACCCTTTCAGGGGGTGCACGTGCACCCCAATGCATGCCCTATGCATCACCACTGGCCCAGTATGAACCAATGGATCCTTAATAAGACCTTAGTAAGAGAGGGGGGGGGCAGTGAGAGGAGGTCTGAGGTGCTGTGGAAGGCTCGGGGGAAGTGGTCCTGATCTAAGCTGGCAGCAGGGAGATGTTTACACTAGGGTGTAGCCTAGAGCAGAGGTTGTCAAACTGTGGTCCGTGGACCACCACTGGTCTGCAAGTTCCATTCAGGTAGGTCTGCAGAAAGGTGACCTACAGCTAAAGCTGACAAACATTACACCTGACTTCCCAGAACTTTGCTAAAAAAAAACCAGGCATATACATTGCATTAGAAAGGTAAGACTACCGATATTAAAATATGCATTGTGTGCTTTGATTTGGAGAACAAAAAAAAGTTTAAGTAGGCTGCTAAGACCTTCAGCAATTTTCAAGTGGTCCGTGAAAAAAAAAGTTTGAGAACCACTGGCATAGAGCATGCAATCTAGCCTTCATAGATTGCATGCTTCTCCTGGTTTTGCAGCATCTCTTCTGTATAAAAAAGTCTACTTTAAAGTTTTCTGAACTTTGTATAACGTCTGTATTTTCAGAAACTTTGATAAACATATGTAATTTGTCCATTAGCTAATAATGCCTTTGTGACCCACAGCTACTTGACTTGTGTTGTTTCAACATCAGAAGAATGAAAGAGTATATTTCCTTAATGTCTGTCTCAGATACAACTTCCTTATTTCTTCATTTATTCTTATTTATGTTAGAACCATTTCACCCATGTACTCCTAATAAAGTAAGCATGGCCCAATCTGGTTAGGTCGGCTTTGCTTCACTCCCGTTGTTTTTTTTATATAAGTTAAATTAAAGTTTTCACACATTTTTGATATGTCTGATACCATTATTCATTATTTGTTAATGTGCTCATGATTCAACAGTATTTTAAATAAACACACACATTATTATGACACTTTGTTGGTATTATCTCCTAGCAACAAAGCTTCCTCCTAAAGTGACCTCTGTCATCATAAATTGTAGCTTATAACAAGTAGTTCAGAGATCCTGGTTTTCTCTGTTTTAATAATTGCAAATTCACAATAAAAACACAAATTCTCCGATTAAAAACACAAAATATGCAATTAAAATGAAACACTGATATATATATATGTATTAATTGAACACAATGTTTTATTAATATAGTAAAATCCCTGTTATCTGGCATTTTACAATCTGGAACACTCTACTAACCGGAATTTCCAGCAAGCTGGTTGGCCAGACACAGGCGGGGGGAAAGCTCGTACGCAGCGGCTGCCTCCCACCACCCTGCACTGCAGCCGCTCCACGTGCAGCCCCCCAGCCCCCGGGGCGTCCATCCGGAAACCCACATTCCTCAGGTAACCGGCATTTTTAGATACTTGGCACCTCCCATTCCCCACTCATGCCCGATAACAGGGATTTACTGTACATTTACAATTTTAAAGCAATTTGAAAGCCTACCAGTGCCTCAATCACTATAGTATAATAAATTGTAAATACCTATACATTTTGGCATTTGATTTGGGATTTTTTTATAATGGAAAATCAGAACTGCCCCTGCTTCTTTTGCTCACCAGGACACAGGTGCAGGCTTCTCACAATCAAGCTACAGCCCCCAAGCCCTGCTGGTGCCCCTCACTCCCCACCCACAGCCCCCTCCCCCTACAGCCTTGCAGGAAGGGGCCCCCAACTACCAGGGCTATGGGGCCAGGGACCAAGCCCCGGATGTTTCCCACAGGAGGTGGTGGTTGCTGCAGCATGTCACAACCCAAAGTTGTGATTTTTCTTGTTTGTGTGTGCTTTGGCATCGCTAAATTGTGTTCCCGCTAAATTGCAGCTCTTTTGCACGGTGGAGTGTTCTGTTGCAATTAAGAACCCGCGTGCAGGAGCTTTTCCCACCAGTTCTGTAGCCTTCTTTGCATCGTGCATTTCTTTTGCATTATAGTGATGCACGGTACAAGAAAGTTCCCGCCTTGTATTAAGATTTCCGCCACATTATTGGCCGATCTTAATATAGGCACACGTGGCGGCCAGCTATTTGGTTTTCTTT